TTAGAGGGATGAAGACAGAAGTTGCTCTTTTGGAGCAGAAACTAAAATCTCTAGAACTGGAAACACGAAAGCAAGCGGATGAGGTAACATTTTTACCTGCCACTATACCTAAATATTACCTGTACAAAAGCCTGAGGGGAGGTAAGACAGGCATAAGATAGGCACCATTATATTTGTATCATGCATTGTGCATGGGTGTGTGATCTATGGCCTTAGTGCTATGGCTAATGTTTGTCAAAAGGAGCGTGTTAACCTGCTAAACATGAAGGAGCAATGCGTAGAACTCGAGAGTCAACTGGAAGAGGAGAGAAGATCGCTATTTGTCCATCATGAAGGTATGTATGTATATCTATATCGCCCTGAGGATGACAGAGTTATCTGGTAGAAATGAAGAGACTTGTATTATGTTGTGAGGAGCGTACTAGGCAGATTGACCAGTTGAAATCTGAAAGTGAAAACAAAGGCATTCAAATACAGGTATATGTACCACAATGGGTGAACTAAGTTGCTGAAGTTTTTTTCTTACTTGTATTGCAGCAATTGAAACAGGAAGAGTCCTATTTGACGAAAACAGTGGAGGATTTGTCTAAACAAAGGGACGAGCAAAAACAGACCCTTCAAAGACTGGAAGCTGAGCTACAATCAGCAAAGTAAGCAACTACTCTTTCCTCCATCTTCCTCCATATTTTTGAATGCACGCATTATTCCTTCTCATACATTAGCTTCATTCCAGTAAAGTTAAGAGAAGGCTGGGGCGTTTTAGGGCGTAATTGGATGCAGGTTGATTACAATGTCCCTGCTTTTGCAAAGGATGCGACCAAACCTGAAATGGGAGATATAGTCAACAGTGTCAAAATCATGTGCACGCACATATATACTCCTGATCCCCTCTTTTTTTAAAGGAGAGTCTTTGAACAAGACTATATATGTGTGTGTCTGATCACCACAGGAGGGAGCTGACAGAAGTGGCTAATTCAAGAGATGCCTGGCACGTGCCACAATGTGCACAGATTAACAATTACATTTGGTGATGTGGTCTATGGTTTCAATATAGAGCATGTTAGTGGCAGCCTCGTCAGCTAGCACTCCAGACACCATCTCAGGCCCCCAGAAACTGAGTGGGTGGAGCATTTAAACCACACCCACCAGCCACACCCCTCACTGACCTCATTCTGACTGTGATCCTGAAGGAGCCGTTGGAATTGACGGTCTTGAGAGAGACAAATGGAGCTTCATGGTCCTGTAGATGACGGTACACTGGACACAGAGAGAGTTAGTTCATGTGAACAGAATGTCTGAGGGAGAGAGAGGGGGACCCACATGTCCAGCCGTCTCCAGTCTCCTCCTCCAGGAAGAGAGAGAAGTAGTAAGTCAGCGAAGGATCCGCTCCTATCTTCACAACTGCTCTCTGTTGTCATGAGGAAAAATGAGGTCTCAATAACAGCTGAGGATTTCCACCATTTAAAAATGCACCATGCATATTGCGACTATCTTCAAAGGAAATTACTGACCCTCAGAATTTTTTTTGCTTCAAAACAAACTTGTTCCCAAACTCCTGTTTGCAAACATTTTTCGTTTCAGAAATAAAAATAGCAACTCTATCTATATTCCTCCAGTTTTACATACCTACCCTCATAATAACAAGGTGCACACACCCACCTCTAAAACTTCATCAGATCGTGAGAAAGACTGTCCTGAGATTGTCACAGAGTTCCCGTTGATCAGGAATATCTCCATGGAAACATCTTCATCAGTGACCCCACTGGATGCCTGTGTGTTGCAAGTAATTTACAATTATATCGTCATAACAACAGGATACCTTTTGAGCTGCCACGAGAAACTCTTTCAGCATGTCACTTTGCTGAATAACCCTGTCCTGACAGACTGAGTGGTGGGGAAAGGGTTAAGAAGGACACAGCTGACGAGATGTGACCTACCAGAGTGAAGGTACCTCTCTAGCCCAGCTCTCCTCTCATCCAGCTGGGCCGCTGTGAGTGAGAACACTCTTTTGGTAGGAAACTCATCAAGTCCGGATGTGTCAAAGTTCCTCCCCAGCTGAAAACGAGATCACCTGAGTATCACGTGATCCTTACGTGAGAGTTGTACCTCTTGGCTGAAGTGGAGGAGATGGGAGTACCGCAGGGAGCAGTGGTAGTGTCCTCCGATGTAGATATTGAACACCTGTGCATTCACTAACATTCTCATACACAGCATTCACTAGCTATGTTGGAACTAGCCTTGTAGAGGCGTCCGCGGTCGTCGACGGCGTCCGAAATGCTAGGGATTTGCACCAACATCTCTCTGCACCTTACCGCTAGCCTCGACCCAATGCTTGGGGCAACGCCCCCTTTTACTGACCACACCTACACATTGTTCGTTCGACGCGCGCATGCGCAGCGCCGAAGTTGAGCAGCGCGCGTGCTCTTACACCAGGAGATTCCAACCAATAGGCCAGCAACACAATCAATGAGACCACGACCTACATACAGATCACAAAGAACTAGATATAAATCGCAGTTGGGGGCAGTGAAGTGTCAGCAGCTAATGGAGGGAACTAGGAGAAAGTGATGCCAGCCTCGCGATAAACATTGTAGATCTTCCTCAGAGCACACACATAGGCTGCTGTACGCAGGTCCAGCCCTAGATTGTAATCCCTCACTGCCTCCATGATTTGCTGTCAGAGGAAGAGACAAAGACATGAATTAGGGAGGTTGTAAGAGAGTCAGGCTGACTGTGGCGGATCGTTCCATTGTGAACTCCAGACCAGAGTGAACGATGTCCTTCTCACTAGCTCCCTATAGGGTGGTGGGCTTTTTTAGAACAGTTCCCTTCAGGGAGGGTGTGTGGCCTACCGCCATCTTGGAGGAGAAGTCAGCAGTTGGTGTGATGGGAATGGTGCCTGGTTTGCCTCCGGAGAACTTTGCCTCCAGACTGGTCTGCACACTCTCTGGACAAGGAGAGAGGTTATCACCGACAAGAATACTAGAAGATTACTAGCTGAGTGACACATCTGCCGAGGTAGGATTACTGATAATTCTCTGCAGATTAACTTTGGCAGATGTGTTGCTCAGCTACTCTTACCTCAGCAGATATGAAGAGTAATCCTACTAATATTACATGCTGAGGTACGTGGTAAGTTTACTAGAAGATTACTAGCTGTGGTGGGATTACGGAATTACTAGCTGAAAGTGTACCAAAGAGGTGCCAGTCATACCGAGAAGATGCTGGTTTGACTCCCTCTCGTACTTCCAGGTAGTTTCCCGTACGACACGTGGTTGAGGTTCTTGAGCCACTCAAAATAGCTGACTGTCACTCCACCAGCATTGGCAAACATATCCTGTCAGCTCAATATGAAACAACTCAGCCTACAGCATCTGAGATAGGGACTCACAGGAATAACCAACACATTCTTGCTGTGCAAAATCCTCTCGGCTGGCAGAGTGATAGGCCCATTGGCTCCTTCTGCCACTATCTGAACCATTACATCATCATTACATCATGCCACACTTCCCCAGTCCCCGCCCCCTCACCTTGGCCTTGACGTCTCGTGCGATGTCAGAAGTGATGACTTGTTCCCCAGCAGCAGGTATGAGGATGTCACAGTCTGCAGTCAGGAGGTTCTCAGAGGTGGGTGTGGCTCCGGGAAATCCCACAATAGTCCCATGTTCCTGATGGAGGGGATGAGGTGTAGTCACTTCTCCTAGGCCAGGAAATGGACTGACCAGTTTGTAATCCTCCAGCTCCTTTGGGTCGATGCCTTCCTTGTAGTTAATAATACTGCCGTCTTCTCGGCCACACCCACCAGTTAGCTCCGTTGCGATGGGAGGTTAGCGACACGAGTGGAGTCAACATTACCAAACCCCTGAGAGCGAAAGAGGAATGGAACTAGTGGAGATGTCAAACAGGCTGGTCTTGACTTCGTCTAATGGCGCATCTCAAACGAACGGACGTGTCTAAACCTTTCCTTCTCAAAGAACGCCTTAAATAAGGACACCTGACTAGTACTGAGACAATATTTACCTAAATAAGGGAAAACCTGACTAGTACTGAGAAATATTATGCTACCCTGTGAAAAATAAGGACACCTGGACTAGACATTATATTCGATCCCATTGGGTGTACAATTTAGATGACGCGTTCTACTGCCATACAACGTCCTACTGAACACGAAGTCTTCCATTGATAACAGGCATATGTCCACAGCACGACAGTACTCTAGCCTCGCTGAGGAAACTCTCACCATGTGGCTAGCTACCACTGTCAGGAGTGAAACTATACCACATTGTGTGATGTATTTGTGCGGCTTTAGCAGCAGACTAGTTACACAGATAACCTCTTCATTGACAAGAGTGAAATGACACCTACTCGCCAGCTGGGACGACGAGATGCGCGGCCATGAATCCTCCCTGCGGGGCGGATGGAGTTTCCCAGTGACACCGGCATACGAGTTGATGTCGTGTAGCCGTGAGCCGAATTCGGGGTCATGAGTAGGTGTCGGCAATCCAGTCTCATCTCTCATCGCTCCTGTCCACATGTCTGGGGCCGCACACATTCCAGTCTACAGAGAGACATTGCTACGACAGGCTAAAGTAAATTGTGAGGCCTCATATTTTCTGTCATGCACATAATAATTGTGGGTGTGCGAAAAGTTACTGGTATTCCAAGGATGTGCGTCCACTAGCTCAAACCTCATTACCCGCGTCATTATGACATTTTCTTGCGAGCTATTATACGAAGTCATAACGCCGAGAGTCACAGAGTGAGTGTTAGTCAATAGCCTTCATCATCGCAGTAGGCAGCAAAACTGCCACGATATATACGAATCACAATTCACACTTTAGTACCAGAAAAAATCTTCTACCAGGAAGTCTGTCGGACCCACTCACCCAGCGACCAAGGATCCCTTCCTTGGCCAGCTCCATCGTGTAAACCTCTCGTGATCGCTCAGCTCTTTAACCTGTGCCACAACTCGGATGTCATGGCAACAACAGTCCAAACATACATGACCAGCTAAACGTATTTGGCGGGTCGATTTTGACTCCGCCTTTGGCCCCTCCGAGGGACGTCACACATGGCACATTTGAATGTCATGAGAGCAAGCCAGTCCACAGACTCGTCTCTGTCACGTCTTCACGTAGCGTATACCTGCAGAGACAGACACACACTCTGCCTGCTGCAACACTGCACAGTAATAAACAGTAATGCAAAGCAAGCCCTACACCTAGTCTTCTGAATTGCAAGACATTTCCCTCAAAGCGATAGTAAATGTTTTAGAATTCACTCCCCAGGGCAGGTATATACAACAACAAGAGACTATGCATGTACACAACTTCTGTTTGCACATCTGATTGTACAGTGACCAACCACAGAGTAGTGTTATGTGGGTGGCCTGAGCACCAAAGATAAAACCTAGCAATAGTGGAGTGGGTGGAGATTGTACATGATCTGGGCTCACTCCCTTGCAGGGGGTGCGTGTGCTGGCTGTGTTGGGCCCTCCATCCATAATCACCTCCATCGTACCGTCGTTCCCTGCAATAACAGATTGTGAATATTCCAAGAGTGTATAGGGAGCAGGGCCTGTCTGGAGAGATTAGGATTAGGCAGGGCTGACCTGTGATTGGGATGCGACGTGGAGTGTTTGCATGGTGCGACAATCTGGGTTCAGAAACCCTGAACCTTGTGCTCCTCTCTCTGTCTAACCTTTGCTCTGATCCTCAGCTAAAATCCTCTCCTTCACCAGAGACGTCGCCTGGGCACCAGAGGAGACAGCATTGCTAGTAGCTATTGGTCGGAACGGGAGCAAACCTTGTCCGCCAGTCGCATGACCATGTCACTGAATGGTAGTTTGTCCAGCTCTTCCTCCTCGGTAGACGTCATGGAGCACTGGCAACGAACACCGCTCGCGGCTGAACCATAGCGAGAGAGAGAGAGAGAGAGGAGAGGGAGAGAGAGAGAGAGAGAAGATGAGTGAGTGAGAGAGAGAGAGAGAGGTGCAGAGAGAGAACGGGCATTACTAGCACGAGCAGAGGTAAGCCATCGTCCTCCGAGAAGATGGGGCGTTCTCCGCAGTAGACTGGTCATGGCTCCTAGAATACAAGCAAACGGACGTCAGATCTCAAATGTCTTATAGAATGGCTACAGCTTTCTCGGTATAAACCTCTGAACTGAAAGTGAGGGGAGCGCACCGCGTACTTCCTGAATGAAAAGAAGGGGTGTGTCATGGGAACGACATATATAATACGCATGCGCAGATTTGGATCAGCTGGCGTGCAATGAGACTCGACTCAGGGCAAGAGTCCAATGGGTATAATAAAGGTTTCTGTTCCCATGGTATGTTACAAAAAAGGGCTAGAGTAATACTGTTCGATAAGGGATTATACATGTGTCTATCTAACTAGCTAAATACGAGAGTCTATCGCTATGGCTAAGTAGTTCAGCTCAGATGGCAGTCACTGAGTTGTCTTCTGGTTCTTCGTCTTCTTTGAGAGCAGCTGCAAGTAGCTCTGCATCGTCCGCCTCGTCTCCTGTACCAACAACAAAGAAATCACACTTGCACAGCAGGTCCGACAACCATCTTCATACCTTCTTCTTCATCAGACACATCTGCAAACATCTCCATTCGTATCTCCTGAGACTCATAGAGAGGGTTGTCTCTGTTCATGCTGCTAATGTCTCCCCTGAAACAAAGGGAGAGAAGGCCGTTGTGAGGTTCCCCTGAAACTGAGGTCCAACTTACGTGGACTCAGGACCACTGGCGTCAATTCCGTCCCAGTTGTCGTACGGCTGGACGAACATCGGATTCTGCTGGTTCCTATTGCAACAGATGGTGATGCTAGAGGGGTTTGTGCGATGTCACGGTAACTCACCCGGTCTTCCCTTCCAGCTCCTCCAGCTGCAAGTTCTCATGGTGGACATTCTCTACCAGAGAGGCAGAGCCTGGACTGCCGTAGAACACATCTGCCAGCAACTTGCTCCTTGTGTCGTGGAGAGCTCTACAACGAAGGAAAAAACCAAAAAAACAGAGAGATTGAGACTTGTAGTGAAAAGAGTCCTTAATTGAGAGGTGACCCTTACCTTGAGTACACTAATTGGGAACAAGCCTACGTCGTTTCTGAATGCGAAATTTTTTCCATTTGTGGTATCCAACATTGCCACCATAATGTCCTAACTAATCACACATACGTAATTGCAATCATTGCTGTGCGCACATGCACCTGTGACTTTTGCATTCTCACGCCAAAAAATGTGTTCTAGTATTAGTACTGGCATTTCCTTTATTCAGAAATCTTTCTTTGCCTTTTTTGTACTGTACAACGTACACCCATCTCTGTCGAATGGAGAGATAGTGTGGTTATAGCCCTGCCGACAAATGAACACACAGGACAGGATGACACATGTTCTGTGTGTCCAGAGCATCTGGATATGCGTAGTCATACAATGTTGGCAAGGCCTTAGTGAGGAGAGAACAGTGTGGCCATGGCTGGCACTCTGTAGTGACAGCTAACGTGATCTTTTCCACTGGGCAAATGGCGCTCAGTTGGTGATCAGCTCGGTGTCCTTGTCTCCCCACTCTCTGTCATCGCTGAAGACCTCGTCAAAGTCCACAAATTTTGTTGGGCAGTGTTGGGGTGGTGATCAGTTCGCCTGAAGATGAAGTGGACCTGTGGATGGGTGAAAACAGTGTCACTAGTTTCAGCTTTTCATCGCGATCGGCCTTACCTGATGTCATCGGCGTGATCTGCATAGTTCTCTACTCTACCTGAATATCAGTCACTCACATTGCAATGGTCCTACAAAATGAGAGCTATGAAAATAGTGGAAGAGAAATAACTGTCATCAGTTATCACCTGGTGATCTCTGCCTCTGACTGGACATGTGTCATCCGCGCAGCTAAAGTAGAACACTGCTTCTCTGGAATGTCAGTGAGAAGGACCAGATTGACAGTAGCTGTGCTAGTACGTGAAGGAGAGCTGTCAGGGTTGTCTGAGGCCAACACCTGTGGAGTGAGAAGTTCATTCATAGAGGGTAACAACTGGTGTGTGGCTGCCTACTGTCAGTGAGAGAGCATTTGTCCGTCAAGATTTTCACAACTGCTAGCCACGTGTGTCGAGGAACCAACTCCGTGTTCCTCCTCATCATTCTGACCTACCATCCAGAGAATCTGTGATGCTGTAGCAGAACCTGCAGAGACGTGAGATTGCCACAAATGATGTTGTAATCGCCTGCTCACTGCTGCGAAATTGCCAAGTGTCTGCATCTGAGGCGTCCACTCTTAGAACTGAGTTCAACTGAAGCTGTCACGCTAACCTCTGTCAGAAAATGATGATGACACACATCAGAATACAATGGACAGCTGTTAATGGTGGCAATGTGTGCAGCGCAGCCATTTTTACTCTTCAATTGCAAATCCCGAACACATTTGTGGTAATGTGAAGGGTATTGCAAGAGGAGTGCAGACTTACCAGCCTTTTGATGCTAGATATAATTGTTTGGGATGTGACTATACACCCCCATTAGTGGGCGACCATTCATATATATAACCACCCCACTTAACCACAAATATTACCATAGATACCTACATACCTCCAGAATATGATATGGAGCTGAACCTAGGATAGTTTGTCATTCACATCTATCACTGCCACCTCAATAACAGCAAAACTAGAGCACTGACCACCATCTGAGGGAAAAGAACATCATCTCTTTTCCTTTCCCCTCTTGATTATAACCTTGTTCATAGCAGTCAGCAGTATTGGTAACGGCTACAGTGACGCCATACGAGGAAATGTTTTCACGGTCTAAACTCCGTCGCAGCTCCAGAGTGTTGTTCTCGTTCACAGAGAATGCATCAGACCCTGCATTATTTCACAGTCGTGTGACAAAGATTATCCTACATGTGGGTATATACCTCTGAGGGTGACAAAGTTATTGGTCGGAGTGTGGTAGCCGGTTACCGAGTCAATGGTAATGAAACTCTCCCTGTTGCTTGGTTCAACATCATCGTCAAAGAAGAAGAGAGGCAGGAGAGGGAACGGAGTGTCCTCACTTTCACTCACAGACACACTGCACAAAGTGGACTTTGGCTGAGGTAAGACAAACAAATGTGACATTCTTACGAGAATGTATTCTGAGAGAAAAACGGTGCCTCATCGTTTGCATCCTCCACAAAGATTACGACATTTGCTGAGTCTCTCATAACCACCTCTCCACTGTCCCTTACTTCCACTGAGAACTGGAGGGAAAGAGTGTGGTACCAGTTGAGCATGGACAAGTGTAGTCAAGTTACAGAGTACTGCAGTCCGAATAGACCCTCTGCGTCCAGGGCATTCTGTACTGTCAACCGCCCCTGATCATCCAGATGGAATGGATTAGAGCCAGCTCCCAGCAGAAGACGATACTGCAGCTCGTTATTTGGAGCCTGTGGAATGTTTGAATAGTAGTCTCAATGTGGAAGGTGAAGATGGGAATGAGACTAGTCTTAATGTGGAAATGTGAATAAGATTTGTAGCTTGTCTAGGTGTAGAATGTGGGAATGGGAATGGCTCACAGTCTTATCTGCATCTGTGGCGTAAATTCGAAGGATTTCTTCAGAGAGTGCCACGTTCTCAGGTATGGTGGTGTTGTACATGTTTTGGCTGAGGACTGGAGGGTTGTCGTTCACATCACCCACCAATACAAGGACCTGGACTGTGCTGCTGAGGGGACAGGTACTCAGAGAGTTGTTGGCTGTGATGGTGAGAGAGAAACTAGTGGTCGTCTCACAATCTAACTCCTCCAGCAGAAACATTTGACCAGTTTCCTGGAAGAAAAGGGAAAGTGTAGCTTATACAGAATTTACAGGATTGGTTCTCCCTTTACCTCATTGATTCTGAAGACTGAGGTATTTCCATTGGTGATGGAGTAAAAGACAGCTGCATTGTCTCCTGAATCGTCATCTCTTGCAAAGACATTCACAATGGCTGCTTCAGGCAGTGTGCCCTCATTCTGGGTCATGTTATATTGGGTCTGTGTGGAAAACAGGAACAAGGGGAAAGTGGAGGTAACATGAGAAAGCAAGACATCTTACAACAGGGAAGGAGGGGATTTTGTCATTGATGTCCACTACGTTGATGCAGAGGATCCTGGTCTCAGACGTGAGGGAAAGAGGCTGGCCTTGGTCCAAGGCATTGATGTACAGCTAAAATGTGAAACTGAGTGTGAGAGGGGAAGAGGGAGGTGGTAGAGTACCTGGTGTGTGTTCTGAGTCTCGTAGTCGAGCTGGCCAGCTATTGTGATCACTCCACTGGAGGAGATGTCAAAGAAGGGGCTGCTGCCAACAATTTCAAAGAGAATTGCTCCATTCAGTCCACTGTCCCTATCAGTGGCGTTGACTGCGAACACCACATCTCCAATTTCCTGTACATTCCCTGACAACTGTATGCCTCATTGGTCTGGAAACACCACACAGTTCAACCAACAACCTCTACAACTGAATCTTCTTACCTCAACGACATCGATACAGGAGTCTGTATTGATGTTTGTGATCACAGGTCTGTTGTCGTTGACGTCAATAACATTCACAGTGATGGTTGTGTTGGTGCAGCATGGCCCTGCTCCACGGTCGCAGGCCTCAACCACCAGGTCGTAGCTAAAACAGAACAAATGACTTCTGCAGTGTCGGATGCTTGTCCACTGTACCTGGGAGTCGTCTCTGTGTCCAGAGATGAGGTGAGAGAGAGGAATCCAGTCGTGGGATCGATGTCAAACACTACACCATCCCTCAACAGGCCATACTCAATGGCTCCATTGGTACCTGAGTCAGCCAATCTCATAATTCCTACTCAGGAATGAATTGTTCCAACTAACCACTGTCGCCATCTGTGGCCCGCACTCTTAGCAGCAGCTGCTGGCCAGTTACCTGGTTCTCCGGTATCTAGGGAGCACAATGACATCATTCAAGAGACTGACAGACTACAATGATAGCTATACCTGTCCACTGAATGATGGTTGAATGAACTTTGGGCAGTTATCATTTACGTCCATGAGGCACACCTGAATCTGCAGCCAGATGTGATTGAGTCAACCTGTTGAACTGTGGAGAAGGGCAATTGTACCTCAGTCACACTGGAGAGTGAGCTGTCTCCAGCAGAGTCTGTTGCCTGGATGGTGAGGAAATGACACTCTGGTCCCTCATCTCTGTCCAAGAGGGCCTCCGTCTTCAAGACACCAGTGACATTATCCACTGAGAACAGATCAGTATCTCTGCCAGAGGAATAGAACAAGAGACGAAAGGATGAGTACCTGTCTAATTAATTTGAGGCTGACTGTACCTGCAACAATGGCAAATCTGACTCCATCTTCACCAAGATCACCGCTGTCACTATCAGATACATCAAATCTGTCAGAATCTCCCCTATGTCTACTCTCTCAGAGATCTCGATGGAAGGCAAGGGATTCAAAAAAGTAGGGATGTGGTCATTGAGGTCCATGACTGTTATATTGATCACCGCAAAGCCTGGAACGAGAGATAAGCTTGTGCCTGACCCGCCCATGGAGAGGGAGAAAACTTACTTGACAGAGAAGAAGCTCCACCATCAGAAGCTCTAACGATCAGCGAATGCCAAGGGTTGCTCTCAAAGTCTAGTTCAACCAATGTTCTGACCAGTCCAGTCTCGGCTGAAGGAAGGACTAGTCGATGAGTGATTCGCTGCAGGACTGACTTACAGTCGACAGTGAAGAGCCTCTCATCTCCTTCAGCAATGGAGAATGAAATGGTAGCATTCTCTCCCAAATCCTCATCTGTGGCCTCCACAGTCAATACACTGGTACCTGCGAGAGACACGTCACTTGTACCTAGTCCAGCCCAGCCAATGTAGACGTACCTCGAGGTCTATTTTCAAGCACCGCCACTGAGTATGAGTCTCGTCCAAACACTGGGGGATTGTCGTTGACATCTGCAACAGTCACTGTGATAGTGCCCTCCTCTGAGAACATTCCATCTGTTGCCTGAAACAAGTGTATGGTACTATAATAATTGGTGACAGGGATTAATGGAAACTGTGGTACCTGAATTGTCAGTTGGTGCACGTCCATCTCCTCCCTGTCCAGTTCCCTCAACGTCGTTACCTCTCCAGTACTCCCATTGATGCTAAAGTTGTCACTGGTAACGGTGAAGCTAAACTGAATATCAGCATTGTTTCCTGTGGAAAAATAATTATATGAAAAGTAGATATAGAAGAAATTCTTATAAGGCTGTCTATTGAAATCTATACCAGTATCATCGTCATTGGCAACAGCAGTGGTGATGTAGACAGGCTCAGAGATATTCTCAGGGACAGTGAACAAGAGAGCAGGCAGCTGTAACTGTGGACGGTTGTCATTCACATCCATCACTCTGACTGTGACCTGGATGTGGTACAGAGATTCAAATAATCCTGTGAATAATGGGTTATCACTGACTGTGGCATAGGCCATGCTTCCAGTAGCAATAACTGGCAATGTGTAGAAACCACGTGTCTCTCGATCCAGTAGGTCAGGCTGGGTGACGGTGAGAGCTGTACCAGCGAGACCGAATGGGTTTTGTGGTAGTTCAGGACTGAAGTACAACCCCTGAGCTTGGCCTGGCTCTGTCGAGATTCCACCACTTAGGGTTTCCACAGAGAAGAATCAGAGAGAGAGTAACAACTGTTACGCTATTTCCTGTCTGCTCTTCTGTCACTTCACCCTCAAAGAAGGGGACGATAAATCTGTGAACGTGGGGATCACAACTGGCTGGGAGAGAATGGGGCTGATCTTGTATGCAAACCTGAATGGTCAGTTGTGGCAGTCAAGGACCCGCACAACAACCTCAGTATCAGCAGGAGAGCATGCGGGTTCCCCCATCCCTAGCTGTAATGACAGCAGTGAACTCTAACCCTATTTCCTCAGATGTCACATTTCTACGAAGGAACATTCGCCCGGTGTCTGGCGAGATTGATGTCAGTCCACTTTCCTGCAGAAGGAAATGGTAAATGTCACTAAAATACTTGTGTGTTCCTCACATCATCCAGAGAGTATGTCACTTGAGAGTATATTCCTGAGTCCTTGTCAATGGCAACAGGCTGTATGAATACCTCACCCACTGGGTGGGTGTGGCAGATGTCCGTGCGATACAGTGAGAAGTCAAAAGATGGGGAATTGTCGTTGAAGTCCATCACGTAAACTCTCACACTGGCAGTAGAGCAGTTGCTCTGAGGATCCTTGTCACATGCCTGTAAGGGTTATACCAAAAACTTATTGGTATTCAGTATAAACTGTCGTATGTAAGTGGAGCTAGCTTTCTCACGAGTGTGTATTGATAGGTAAGAATACATGTGAGTGTTGTATGTTTACTCTTTGGGTGAAGTGGTCTATATTTAAACTTTTGGCACTTGTTATGTGCCCGATCTGGTAACAAAAGCCGCTCTTCATGTTGTGCTGCAATAGTCTGCTGGCCTAGATTAAGCTAGTGTCCAATTGAGCACAAAATGGCAACATTTTATATATAAATTCACCAACATTTTGCTTGTTGAATTGTAACCCATTAGAGCCAATCTTCTTCACACTTTACAAAAAGTGTCATTGGCTGAAATATTAACCCACTAAAAGCCACACATACGTACCAGGATGGTGATGTCATCATATAGTCTCTGAGTCTCATAGTCCAGAGCCACAGTTGTTGTTAGCTCTCCTGTATCTTTGTTGATGGAGAACTGTCTGCTGTTTACACTGTACTCCAGCTGACCACTGGTCCCAAAATCAGGATCTTCAGCCACAACCTGCAACACACCACCACTCACGGATCAGTTACCAGAGCAACTGCCAATACTCACCGCGATGACTGATGCACCAATGGTGTGGGCCTCTGAAACCATGGCAATATAGGTCTCCTGGGAGAAGACTGGCTGGTTGTCATTGACGTCAGTGACTGTAATCTGCACCATAGTGCTGGCAGCCAGACCTGAGGGGATGTACACAAATGCAATGGATGTGAAAGTAGAGGCTATCTCCTCACTGGGTGTGCCGCTGTCATGGGCACTAATCATGAGAGAAATGAAGGGATCTTGTTCGCGGTCCAGGCTTCTCTCTAGAGTAATGGCTCCAGTTGTACTGTGGACAGGAAAAGATTACTAAGGGAGAGCCAGCGGCTAGTGGTGTATACCTGTTGATAGAGAAACACGAAAGCTTGTGTGGAGGGGAGGAGGTGCCTGCTGTGAAGGAGATATCGCCTGCCAGGTCAGGATCCACTGCCTCCTGCAGAGGGAGACTAGATGTGGTGGGAAACGAGAGGAAGAGGACTAACAGCAATTGTTAGGACTGTCCCCACTGCTGTGTCTTCTGGTACAGTTAAAGAGTAGCCAAACCGAGGAATGAAGAATGGAATGTTGTCGTTCTCATCCTCAAGGGTGATTGTCATGGTAATACGGGATATCCTTGGGGAGGTGGCACGATCCTCAGCAGTGATGATGAGCTCCAGAGTTTGGTCAACCTCTCTGTCCAGGACAGCTCCTGCAGCAACTGTCACAACGCCTGTGTCCTTGTCAATGGAGAATTTGTCCTGGTCTTCTCCTTCCTTGTCATAGATGACCACTGAGTTCACACCCGGTCCATCTGCATCCCTGGCCTCCACTCTCGTGCTGCTTCCATCAAAGAACTAAAAGAAGACATTATCACTCCACACAGACATGCATGGAGATAATGGGGGATTTACTGGAACAATGGTGGTCCCAACAGGACTGTTCTCCCTGAGTGAGGCTGTGTAGTACTCGGCATTGAACTGAGGAGAATTATCATTCACGTCTCCAACAGTGATCTGGACTATTGCAGTATCCTGTGCAGAGTTAATCACCAAGTGATGGTTAAAGAAATATGCTACATACCGCCAAATATTCAAGGGCATAAGAACTATTTTATAATAGTAAAATGGAAGGTTACATTGTGGCCTGCAGAGTCAGTAGCAATGATTGCAAGGTCTATGACAGGCACAGTCTCTCTGTCCAGAGTGCCTGTAGTGGAGATCTCTCCGCTGACTGGGTCCATCCTGAAGTAAGAGCTGCCAACATTGCTTGAAGACTGGATGATGTCGTAGACCAAGGAGTCAGTTCCATCAGGGTCAGTAGCTGACACTGTCAGCACTGACGTTGAGCTGGGAGCACCTGTAAGGAGCACAGACAGTCAAAACCCAGTCTATCACAAAGCTCCCGCTATACCTTCATCTACACTGGTGGTGTAGAAACTGATGGGGAATTGAGGTGCCTCATCCTCAACATTGATCACATCAACATGCAGTGTGACCACATTGCTACGTCTGGGGTCTCCATTGTCTCTGGCTTCCACACTCAACTCATGTTCCTGTCCCATCTCATAATCCACATCTCCTGATACCTTAACAACTCCACTAGTGGTGTTGATGGTGAACAATCCTGGGGACAAAAAGGAATGGTTAGGACAACCTAAAGACACTGGGAGAGGAGCCTCACTTGACGAGCCTTCGAGTCTATAACTGATCTGTCCATTGGTTCCCAAGTCTCCATCTGTTGCTGAGACAACCGCAACAGTTGTTCCCATGGCCACATTCTCCATGAGACTTGTGTTGTACAGACTCTGAGAGAAGATGGGTCGGTTGTCATTGACATCTCTCAACAGTACCGTCACCTGAGTTGGGAGAGAAGATCAGCTGCCACTCCCACCATTATCACTCATCTTACCACTGCAGTAGAGAACCTCTGCATGCTTTCTGGAGAGGCCTGGTCAATGGCTTCGATGGTCAGAGTGTGCATTGGATCTGTCTCGTAGTCAAGTTTCCCTGCCCTTGCCACCACCTGCCCCTGGGGATAAACAATTGTATCAAACTTTCTCTCTTGTCTCCCAAGCAACATACTGAGGAGTCCATGTAGAAGATGGTATTACGGTTGCCGCCAGTGATACGATATTCTACTCTCCCGTTGCTCCCCTCGTCATCGTCATTTGCAGTTAATTTGGTGACAACCAAATCATTGCTGTTGCTTTCATCATGAGTGACGATATATGTTTCTTGAGTGAATAAAGGACTATTGTCATTGAGGTCGCCAATGACAACCACTACCTCGCCCTCGTCCTATATATATAGAGAGAGACAGAGATTTTGGTACAGTGCTCTGTTTGCCCTGAGTTGCAGTTATGTTATCTGTGGAATGTGGAGAATTACCATTCTGGAGCCATCAGTGACAGAAACCTTGAGTCTGTACTCATCCTCGGTTTCTCTGTCCAGAGAGACAGCAGTTGTTGTTATGAGGCCTGAGAGAGGGTCCATGTAGAACTGCCCAAGTGGGTCTCCTGGGGACATCATAGAATTAGAGAGAAGAATTCTGGAGCTGAGTGGCTATCAATACCGTCAGTGATATAGTAATTGAGAGAATTGGTGTCTTGGTCGTTGGCGCTTATAACAGCAACAGACACCCCCTCAGGAGAGTTCTAATAGCAAACAAAACACTGTCACTGTGACTCAATGAAGGCAACATGTTACCTCAAGGATAGTGGCAGAATACGAAGTTTGATCAAAGATTGGACGTTCATCGTCAACATCATCCACTTTTATCCTGTTTGGCAGTAACAGATAACCCATGCATACTAGCTATAGAGAGGACACACTGACCTGAGCTCAGTGGTGCCAGTTTTGCTGGGAGGACCTTGGTCTACTGCCTCTAGAATGAGGGTGTATGATGGTTTGGTCTCTCTGTCCAATTCTCCATCCAGAGAAACCACTCCAGAAGATTGGTCTACTCGGAATGGGTGAGTAGAGGATGACTGAAGGAAGTACTCAATGATTCCATTGCTGCCAACATCAGCGTCGGTTGCTCTAGCATATGGCTCTAGGGTAGTGGAGATTGCTGACGACTCTTTAATGCAGTATGTGTAAGAGTACAGTGGAAATGTTGGGGTGACATCGTTCTCATCGTCCACTGTGACAATCACCTGTACATAAAAAAGATAGCCATGCTTGGGAATATAGTTATCGTAAAGCACAGACCTGAGTGTAACTGGCTCTGCCCATACCATCTTCAGCCCGTACAGTGAAGATATATAGAGGAATGGCCTCCCTGTCAAGAGAACGTGTTGTACTAAGGACTCCAGTGTTGGAGTCAAGGGAGAAGTCAGGAGTGTCACCAGCCACAATGCTGAAGGTGATGGCACTGGAGTCAGTGCTGGTACCTCTGACCTGCAAAAGGAAAACATGACTTCTGTGGTTCTCTAAGGTGTAGAGAGACTTACAGTAATAACTTCTGCTGGATCCCTATTCTCAAACACGGTTTCGCTGTATAAGGCTCGAGTGAACGTTGGTGCAAGCTCATCAATATCCTCGATAGTTACCCTTTGAGAATAATACTAATCATGTGAGGTTTGGAGGGGCTTTATAGCTTTCACCTGACACTGGCAGTAGAAATCTGGAATGGATTTCCTCCATCTCTTGCCACAACTGAAAACTCTATTGAACTGTTGATGGGAATTTTGAGAGTCAGTACTCCCGTATTGGTGTGAAGGGAAAAAGTGTTTTTGGTGCTGTCTGGTGTGCCATCCGCAAATTCATAAGACACCTAACAAAGAACTTGCATTATAAACGGTCATAGTGCTATATTATAGTGAATGTATACCATTCCTTCTTCGGGGTCAGTGGCCAGTATGGAACCCACTGTCCCACCACCAGGGAAATTCTCTGGCACCTTGAGGGTAAGCAAAGGGTTCTTTGCTAGCAGTGTACGTCTCTGTTAGCAACTCACAGAGAAGGTGTATGGGGAAGTGGAAAACTCTGGAAGCTCATCATTGATGTCAAAAAGAATGATAGTGAAGTTTGTAGTGGCAGCCAGGAAAGGAGAGCGCATGTTTCTGGCCTCGATCACAAGGAGGTACGAACGAGGCCCAGTCTCATAGTCAAACTCCTGTGGATCAGAGACCATGAACATCAGGCAGAGAAGAACATTGAGACACTCACACTTCCCGTTGCAGTCTTTACTTTCACCAGCCATGAGCCTCCATCCTCCATCCCCTCAACAATGAACATTGGCTGGTCATTTACAATGTTGAATGAGAGTTGCTCTGCTCCATTGTTCACTGAATCTCTGTCTTCAACTCTGAGTTGGGCGACAAGTGCGTTTCCACCTTCCCTCTCTGAAATGGCTGCTGTGCAGATTTCCTGGGTGTCAGACTTTTGGTTCATACAAGAACAGAAATTAGATGATGGATTAGGTCTCACCTGACTGAAGATTGGGGCATTGTCATTTACATCTTCCACACTGACCAAGATATACGTCAGAGCTGTTCTTTGTGGCTGGCCTCTGTAGAGAGTGGCACTAAAGGAGTGGAACATGCAGTAATGGTGGGGGCACACCTATCAGTGACAGTGACGGTGATGTTGTATTCTGCCTGGGTCTCTCTGTCCAGTTCTCCTGCAAGAGTGACTTCACCAGATGGACTCACTTCAAACAGACCTCCATCATTGGACAGAGTGAAGTTCACCTGCATAGAAAATTTCAACACAAGGCATTCTTAAGAGGCTCTGCAATATAGTTCCAGGCCCTGAAATGCATTTTCTCATACTTAGTGATTGGTGCTCCCAGCCCCTACTTGAGGTATAATTTTGAACAGGTAGCTAAGTCTCACTCTATAGACAAAAACACAAGCAATATTACCTGTCCATTCTCTTCATCGTCATCATCTCTAACATTGATGACAGCCCCTACTAGTGTGCCTCTACCAGCATCCTCAGGGACTGCCACAATCTGCCCATCTACTGACTCTATCACTGGACTGTTGTCATTGGTGTCCAATATTGTCACTGTGACTAAAGTTTCTGAGACTCTTGCATCTGTGCCGTTGTCTAAAAGGGAAGGTCTTACTCTTTACGTTGCATGCCAAAACTAGAAGACCTCACCTGTTGCATAGACTGTCAGACTGTACACCTTTGTATCAGACTCATGGTCATAGAGCATAGAAGAACTGGATTGACCCACAGTTCCCGTGGTAATGACTCCAGTGATCTCATCAATGGAGAAGTTTTCATTGTTGTCAATAGAATACCTCACGACTCCGTTTTCATTACTGTCCCTGTCACTTGCCCTCACCTGCCAATGACACGTCTTAGTTTCCACATTTTAGGGCTTGCAGTTTAACTTACCGCGGTCACCTCCAGCCCGGGAGCTGTGTTTTCTCTAACACTAGCAGTGTATGGAGCATTAATGAACACCGGGGAGTTGTCATTCTCGTCAGTCACAGTCACAGTGATGAAAGCAGTAGAGGCGAGGCCTCCACCATCCCTGGCTTCAACCGTCAGCTGGAGCTGGACCTCGCTGGCTCCTTGGACTGGGTTAAGTGACTCAAAATCGACATTCTCCACAACCAGAAGTTGTCCTAGACAATAGAAAGAGAGAGCTGAGAGGTAACCAGGGATTGAGCAATGTTGGCTAACCTGTTCCTCTGTCAATATAGAAGAGGGGGCTGGCTCCAGACAACAAGCTGTATCTGACACTCCCTAACGCGTTGGAGTCTCTGTCAGTGGCGTTAACCTGTGAGAAGGTTTGGTTGGCCTGTGGACAGTGGGCGAGAGAAGAAGTCACTGACTGTGAGGATGTCATAGGGTGAGGTGGTGTTGGCCTCTGGGATAGTGGTGGAGTAGCTAGTGTTCTGGAAGACTGGACTGTTGTCATTCACATCCTCCACGAGAACTAAGACCTGCAACCAGTCAAGTATCTACTCCATCCAGTACACCGTCTGAGAGACTTACCCTAGTGGAGTTTGTGTTAGGGAATTCTCCATTATCAGTTACATTGACAGTGAACATGTAGCTGGTGTCTGCCTCGTAGTCGAGAGACTGAACCAATACAACTTCTCCTGTCTCGCTGTCTACTTGTAGTGGAGCTAAAGAGAAGAAAAGCTTTGTTCAGCTACATAAACTAGTTCAGTCAGTGGATACTTCACATAATGATCATACAGGATTAACGAAAAAGTTTATATAGCAGACCTGAGATATCGGCAGAGAAGGAGAGCATTCCATTGTCCCCACTGTCCATGTCTGTCACCTCCAACAGAGAGAACCGGCTGTTCCTCAGAGTGTTTTCAGGGAGAAGGAGAGTGTAGTCATTGCTGGAGAACTGGGGAGTGTGTTCATTTGCATCGGACACTGTCACAGTAACAGTAGCTGAACTGCAGGACAACACCAGTTTTACACGGTAGAGATTTTGTTTGTATGCCATACCTCAATCTTTCATCGATTCCACCGTCAGTGGCAGTCACTGTAATTTCATACTTCTGAACAAATTCATAGTCCAAACTAGTGGCAGTCTGTACTACTCCAGTTGAGGAGTTGACCATGAAATGTGATGCAACTAGTGACTGGTCCTCGGTTTCGCTTAGAGCCACAATGGAAGAAATGCTGTAGCTCAGCATACTGTTGCTACCTGAATCACGATCGGTGGCTGTTACTGTTACAACACTCTGACCGGCTGGGAGCTCTTCCGCCAATGTCTTGGAGTAGGTGGCTGTGGTTGAGAGTGATCATCCACTGGCTACAATATATGTTACGACAACTCACTGGGCTGGAATACTGGGTCTTCATCGTTGATGTCATTGAGGTACACAGTAACCACTGCTGTTCCCTTCAGAGATCCTGCTCCACTGTCAGTGGCTACTATCTCCAGCACATATGGGCCTTCAAATGCCTCACGGTCAAACTCTCCTGTAGGACAAAAGAAGCAGTAGCTGTGGTGTAAAGAAGGGAACAGAGGAAACCTAGTGTTTCAATGTATCCTGACTCTCCATCAATACTGAAAGAGCCGGAGGGAGGCTCAGGAAAGCCAGGCTCAGGCTCTGGTGGACCTATGTAAATCAGAGGAGGAGAGCTGCAAGAGAAGTACGGCTGACTGAGATTAGTGTCACTGTGACAGAGAGAGGTAGCTCGCAGCATAGCGCATTGATGAGCTATCGCAGTCAGGCTGCGCAGATGATTGTGTTAGATAACAGAGCTATCATGACGTGTTGGCTGTGCTCCCAAGTGATAGTCACGTGTGTGGTCCTACGTGTCGGTACGTGTAGGGCATGGTGATGATTGGCTCTAATCTTCCTCAACTGTCTCATACCCTGTGCAGCCAGCTGTATTAAATGTTCACAACTGTGTTCTGTCGAGAATCCGTCCTGCGAGCAGCCTGTACGCGCTTACACTCGGCGTGGTGACTTTAATGGTGGCTTTCTTCATGACTATCGTCGTTGTCCAAGTCATTCATTGAGGCATGCCTCATCTAGTGGCTCACGTGACAGTGACGGACGATAGACACTCGCTCTATCTTGCTATGCTGCTCAGCACGTCACGTTGCGTTGTGTGCGATCCTCTTGCGACAGCACTCCTTCCCGTTTACGGCTATCGGTAGGAGCGGTACATACGACTGTGCAGTGGTTTTTTGCGGAGAATGGGCTGTAGCTCTCACTCGGCAATCACAAGCTAGGCGATTGTGTTGATGGTTAGCTCAGTCCAATGGATCAACTCATAAGTCAGATTTCGGCATTATAGTCCGTCATGCATCCATGTCCCTTGCAGAGATCAGATCGCTCAGCGATAGTCGCTGTGTCTCGAGACAGAAAACCTCATATATATCGATCACGAACGCAACAGGGCCGTAATTTGTGTCAGTGAATGTCCCAGCACTGTAGGTACCAGTAAGTGATACCGATTACTCCTTTGTATCCCTCTCACACATTAATTAGACCTGCGATGGTGGCGCTAGCACAGTTGGAGTAGTGCGGGAGGACGCCTAATCACTGCGTGTCCTGGCAGTCGGACTGTGATGATGACAGTGTAGTTACTCTGCATCCATTCACGGTGCCAGAGTTGCTGTAGTGGTCACACTCATGACAGTTGTAGTGGTTGATACTGTAACCTGTGGAAAGATATTGGCCTTGACACGCTAAGGCTTTCCACATACAGGCAAAACTGACTTGTCATTGG